GGCATTGATTGTAGAACCAAGCAATGTGAATTCTTTGACAACCTCAATCTTCTCTCCATTTATTGTGATGCTGCTCATTGGTCCAGTTGTGCTTATTTAATATCTGATCTAAATTTGGATAAATTGACCCCACTTCGAGATTTTATTCACTGCAACCCAAGCAACTTCTATCAGAGGTGAAATTATAATAGGTACCTATTGGTATGAATAAGGAGCTCTGGTGGCATAGTGCCTAAGGCATTTGACTGCTAACCAGAAGATTCATGGTTCAAACCCACCAGCAACTCTGCAGAAGGAAGACTGAGCAATCTATTTCCGTAAAGATTTACCGCTTTGGAAACCAACTGGAGGTTGGTATGAGTTGGAATTGATTTGATGACAGTGAGTTTGGTTTCATTGGTATTGGTATGATTTGAGGAAAAGAAATCACCAATAAGTTTTGAAGATGATACAAATCATGATGAGTTGCGATTTAGTATTGTGAAGCAAGATGCTCCATACTAGTGTGATGTTATAAAAAATTAATATTTCAATCCAGAGGCATAGCCAGAGATTTTTGTATCCTAAAACTCTGGTGGCATAGTGCCTAAGGCATTTGACTGCTAACCAAAAGGCTGGCAGTTCAAACCCACCAGCCACTCGGAAGGAAGATTGGGCAATCTACTTCGGTTTAGATACCGCCTCAGAAACCCAAGGAGGGGAGGTTGCAATGATTCAAATCGACTTGACAGCAGTAAGTTTTTTTGTTTTTTTCTTTTTTGTTTTTAGTATCTGGTAAATGGGCAAGTATTTAATAAATGTTTATTGAATTGTAATGTATCTTTAACCTACCAGGAAGTTGTAATATTTTCCATGTATTTTTTTCTACATTAATGGAGGAATGAAAGGAATCATGTTTGTCTTTCCACCCTAGTCCCACTTCTCTACCTATACATCATCTACCTTTAAATTCCTCTGTTTTCATGGCTGTTGCCCTAGTTTAGTCAGAACGGTTGGTTCTAAATGATAGGAATACAACTTAAAATAGCTTGAGCAGTAAATGGAATTTAGTGGTTGGCTTGGTGTGTTAGTTATGTTTGTGTGTCAACTTGGCTGGGCCTGGTTGAGTGGCTGGGCAGCTGGTGGTAGTTATTCCCCATGATGAGACTGGCAATCAACGCTATGGTGGAATCTACCACAAGCAGCTTCTTGTATATAAGGAGAAGCCTTGGGGATAGTCTTTAGCTTATGGCACCTTGAACCCTGCATGGAGCCATGTCAATACTCAGCAGCCTGCTATGCTCTGCTGACCTTGAGACTTACAATGTACTTAAGTTAACGGCCTGCCGTGTGGTTTGGTAACATCGAGACTGTGCCCTTTTACTTGTCAACCTTGGGCTTCTCCGCTTCAGCAGCCATCAGCTGTCTGAGTGAAGAAAAGCCTCTAGCTCCAGTGGGCTGGGAGCTGGAGGCAGAGCTAAAGCCCAAGGTTGAAGGGCTTTCAGCGAGCCCCTAGAGCCTGGCACTTTGAACTTGCACTTAATGCCTCTGAATTGTGAGAGAATAAACTCCTGTTTGTTAAGGCCATCCTATTTGTGGTATATTCTTGTCAGAGTGGCACTAGGTAACCACAACACTTGGTATACATTAGAAGGATGCTGAGATGTATACATAATTGAAGGAAGGATTGCGGAAATCAGACCTTGCAGTCTGGACAGAGATATCACCCCATTGACACCCACTCACATTTCTTCTTGCCTTTTCTTGGCTCATTTTCTTTTATTGCATTCAGACCTTTGCCAAAAGGTCAAAGAGTTTGCTGCCCTCAGCCCCACCTTTCTGGTAAGTATCATGAATTTATTGGCAAGGCCATGTCTCCTCTTGCTTTAAATTGGGAAATTCGTTGGGACCAATCAGTTTGCTAAAATAAAAGAGGGTACTGTGATTGGTCTCATTTGAAGCTCATGCCAACCCCCCATGGCCAGTAGAGGATAGTGTATAGCCAAAGAAGAGGCAGAGGAAAACTGTCCTCTCTAAGGCTCTATTACCCCAGTCCTTTGATGATTTCCCATTTTAATCCAGCTGCCTACTGTTCTCAGATCCATGTTTCTAAGCCACAGCTTACATCATGATTCCCAAGTTACTTAACTTTTAGTGGCTCCTCATTGTCTATATATATTGCTGTTGTTGTGTGCTGTCGAGTAACTTCTGACTCATAGTGACCCTGTAAGACAGAGTGTATCTGCCACATAGGGTCTCCTAGAAGGCTGTAATTTTTATGAGGAAAGGAGCCTTCGTGATGCAGTGGTTAAGTGCAAGGCTGCTAACCAAAAGATCGGTAGTTGAAACCCACCAGCAGTTCAGTGGAGAAAAGACTTGTCTATCTACTCTTGTGAAGATTACAGTTTAGGAACCCCTTTGGTGCAGTTCTACTCTGCTGCATAGCATCACTATGAATTGGAATTGACTCATTAACACACAATAATAACAATCTTTACAAGAGCAGATCACCAGGTCTTTTTTCCTGCAGAGCCACCTATTTGAACTGCTGACCTTTCAGTTAGCAGCTGAGTGAATAACCATTGTGCTGCCAGGGCTCCTATTGTCTATATAGCCAGTAGCATCTAAACTTCTGTTTTGGGATAGTTCTATAATCTGACCCCAGACTTCCCTTTCAACTTTATCTCTTGGTTTTCCTATTCATTGGTAAACTGAGCTAGCTGGCCTTCTATGTTATCATAATACCTTTTTTATTTCTCACTGGATTAGCCAAACCTTAAGTAAAAGTTTTGTGGTGTGATCATTAGCCATTAACTCAACTAACTCATTGCCATCGAGTTGGATTTAACTCATAGTGACCCCTCCATGGGTTTCCGAGGTGGTATCATTATGGTAGTAGATTGCCTGACCTTCCTTCCGAGGAGTGGCTGGTGGGTTTGAACTGCCAGCCTTCTGGTTAGCAGTCCAATGCCTTAGGCACTACGCTACCAGAGCTCCTCATTAGCTGTTAGAGAGATGTAAATCAAAATAACAATGAGATACTATCTCACCTCAGCAGTAATGGCAAAGTTCAACAAGACAGAAAATAACAAATGCTGGCAAGGATGTGGAGAGATTGGGACTCTCATACACTGGTGGTGGGACTGTAAAATGATATAACCACTGTGAAAGCAGTGTGGTAATTCCTTAAAAAGTTGGAATTAGAAATATGATTTGATCCAGCAATCCCATTACTAGGTATATATCTTAAAGAAGTGAGAGCCACAACAAGAATAGATATATGTACATCCATGTTCATCGCAGCACTATTTACAATAGCAAAAAGGTGGAAACAACCTACGTGCCCATCAACAGAAGAATGGACGACCAAACTATGGTACATACACACAGTGGAATGCTATATGCAACACTAAAGAATAATGTAGAATCTGCAAAATACTGCATAGCGTGGATGAATTTGGAGGACATTGTTGTTGTTGTTGTTAAGTGTTTCCGACTCATAGCAACCCCATGCACAGCAGAATGAAACACTGCCCGATGGAGGACATTATGCTGAGTGAAATAAGCCAGTCACAGAAGGACAAATACAGTATTAGTTCATTATTGTAAAAAGTCAAAGAAAGGTTTATATATGGAAGGAAACTTTCTTTGTTGGTTATGAGGGTTGGGAAGGGAGGGGTGGGAATACTACAAAAATAAAAATAGTAATTTTAAAAAAAAGGTTTTTTTGGTGACAGTCTCTCTATTTTATATGTTTAATGGCTATGAGTCTCTGAAGGCCCCAAAACTGAGGCATTTTACCTTGTTTCTTAGGTTCTGGCAAGATCTGTATCATTGTTGGCAAAATATACTAGTTTAGGCTTTTTCGTTGGTGGTGATGCTGATCCATTTCTCTTTGTAGTCACTTATAACAAGTAGTCAGAGGGAGACATGGCTTAATAGTTAGGAGGTTTTGGCTCTGCATGAGTCTCACTGAGTTTTTGGAAAAAGCACCTTGTTTCCTGTGTGCTTTATTTCCTTGAAGGTAAAGTGAACTATAAATATATGTGTCCATCCTTGAAGGTGGATTATGAGGCTCAAGTGAGGTATAGCTGTAAAAATGTTTTGAAAGGTTAAAAAGTACTATGCAAACTTAAGGTATTTTTTATTGTTTATATTTAGTTATGTTTTCTTGGATGCTTGAATAGAGAACACAGTTTCTAATAGCAATTAAATTTTGAAAATATATGGGAAAGCTTAAAGTAGTATACAATTTCAGAGTAGTGTTATTGTGAATGTACTATTTAGTTGAAGATAGGCAGCAAAGCTAAAAGAATTAACAAAACTTACTTAATGCTTCTTATAGAAAGGCATTGATTATATAATTATTGTATGTCAAACCAAGCCAGGCTATAAGAAATGGTTAAATTACATAGAGTTTTATCAGAGAACTGATTAATTTTATTATCCCTATGGTTTATTATTTCCCCATCCATGGAACTGGATATTTAAAACTTAAATTCTAGGCATTGATATAAAATTTGAGTTACATAAATTTTTAACGTTAGCTTTTTTGGTATTTGATATTTGCAATGGGAATGTTTTTGTACTTATAAATGGATGACCCTTTTTGAATGCTTAATCAGTGATGAAGACTCACTCAAAATTACATCTTTCATTAAGAAGCTTTTTCTCGATACCTACCAAATTCAAATTTATTACTGTTTTTGTCACCTCTCTAGTCTATTGCATCTGCAGACATGGATTTCAACCAGCTGGAGGCATTCTTGACTGCTCAGACCAAAAAGCAAGGTGGAATAACATCTGACCAGGCTGCTGTCATTTCAAAATTCTGGAAAAGCCAGAAGACAAAAATCCGAGAGAGTCTCATGAACCAGAGCCGCTGGGACAATGGGCTTCGAGGCCTGAGCTGGAGAGTTGATGGCAAGTCACAATCAAGGCACGCTGCTCAAATACACACCCCTGTGGCCATAGTGGAGCTGGAATTTGGGAAAAGTGGACAGGTGAGTTTCACTACAATCAATTTCCTTTGGTAAACTATCTTTCCATTGTTTATTAGAGTATATTAGCCAGTTTATTAAGATGATTTAATGGAAGTCATCTTTGTAGAGATAACAGGGAAAGACCCTGTTTCATAGATTGTCTTTTCAGAGGTAGAATCATTTGAAAATTTGGATACTCTCAATTGTGGACAGCATCTGGAAATCAGTTTCAGAATCTTAGTAGCCATCTCAGAAGAATAGAATAGGTCAACAAAGTGATGGCACAGAAATTGACCATTACCACACTTTGGGTAGATCTCAAAATCTTGGCCTGTGGTCAGAATCTCCAAAGTAATGATGGAGATATTAAATAAAGGCCACATATTGAGATTAAAGAACACAGAACAAAACTATCTCCCCCAGTCATCTTTATAGTTAAAGTCAGACATGGGAGGAAATGTATTTTATTATACTAATATATTGTTTTTAAAGACCTTGAATAAGGTCTTAGAGCCCACAAACAATTTTAATTTGTTGTTGTTGTTGTTAAGTGCCGTCGAGTCATTTCCGACTCATAGCAACCCCATGCATAGCAGAACGAAACAAAGCCTGATCCTGCGCCAGCCCCACAATCCCTGCTATACTTGAGCCCATCATTGCAGCCACCGTGTCAATCCATCTCGTTGAAGGCCTCCCCCTCTT